CATGCAGCGACACGGCCAGCCGCACGTGAGCTCCTCCACGCATCCGCAAAATATGGGTAAGTGCCGAAAGGCGGAGTCCAAAGTGGTGGGCAAAGTGGAAAATTAATTTTCTGCTCGCGCATTTTCACAGACATCAGCCTGCGGGGCCTGCTGAACAACCAGGCGGCGCAGAGCCCCAACGCCCACATGGCATTCAACGGGCCGCCCAGCTACCCGGGCGGGCCGCAAGGAGCACCGGCGCCGGCCCACCAGTCGATGGGACCCCAGATGCGTCCGCATTTCATGCCCGGCCAGCAGGGTTTCGCCCAGGGCGGTGGTCCAGGAGGCGGGCCGCGGGACGCCAACTTCATGAACAGCAACGCGCGCTTCCAGTCGCAATATCAGCGTATGGCCAACCACGCCCAGCAGGCGGCGGCGGCAGCGGCCATGGCCGGAGCGGCGGGGGGCGGCGGCGGGCAGATCCCTTCGCCGGGTGCACTGCAGCGGCCCCAGATGATGTCGAATCCCATGCAGAATGTGAGCGCCATGCAGAATGTAAGTCCTCTAAATCAAGTTTTATGATGGCGGGTAAGACTTTCTCAACTGCGCATATGAAATAATGGATTTTCTTCAAACTCGGGTACTTCGTAGAGTTTGCCTTGGTTATCATCTCAGACATTTTTGAATTTTTTTGGTGTCCATTTAGGGGCGCTATGAATTTTGGAAGTTAAGAACTTCAAAAAATTTCTCAAACCTCAAATTAGTATATCTCGGGAACGGCTTAGAGGAACAACGTATTTTAAATGTGTACTAGGGAAATTAGAAAAATATTTTCTTAAATTTTTTGTTGTCTATTATTTTAATTAATTTATCGTGGTTTTGGAAGTCTTCTTCATCCTATAAAATAAACTCTACTTCCCAAGATTGTTAATCTCATAACCAACTTTTCATCATTGCGCAGTTGAAAAATTCTTACCCTGGTAGAATCGGAGTTTTAACCATTTTCCCCTGTATTTCTTTCCACAGTCGTTGGGGTTTCATGGGAGCCAGGCTGGCTTTAATGCCGGCCCACCGCAGACCTCCCCGCAGTTAGGCGGCGGCGGAATGCACAGCCTGGCCAAGTGGCACATCCCGCAATCCGCCCAACAGTCGAACAGTGAGTAATTGAATCTAACTAGTCTAACCTTATTTATGTGTATTATTTGATTTAAAGGATAATTTAATTGGGAGCCTTTACTAACTATTCCATTTGTGAACATTTACTAAATAAACTATTCAATGAAGATAAAGATTTCCTTTAAATTTAAATTAGATAATCTCAAATTCATCTTATTTTAACTTGATATTACGTTTTTAAAGTTAAATTTTGCATTATTAAACAAATTTTTGGAATTCTTTTATGACTTGTTAGTTATTTCCCGGAAACAAAGTCAAGTTTAGTCTAATTTTCTGCGAACTCTTATCTTATTATTATTGAATTACGTCAGAGGAAACGTTTGTTTATATAATTGGAATGAATAGACTTCAGTGGAATTATATCGACAAAAAAACAATCGTAGTTACAGTAATCTTCAAATGCTTTCGACAAGGTTTTCCCATTACTCATTAATTATTTTGCTTACTATTTGCAGTGTGTTCGCAGCAGGGTCCCCTTTTGCCTTTTGCGAATGGCCGCCAGACATCGGAAAATTTTAAAATCTCACTCAAATCCCCCAACACGCTCAAGAACAGCACCCCGCCCAGCCTGGGGGGCGGTGGTGCGGGTCATCCGGGCCTCGGAAACGGCTCCTCCAGTGCTCAACTGAACGCAGCTGCCCTGGGATTGGGGCCAGCCGTTTCGATACTCTCAAATGTCACCTCGACGAATCCAAAGACGCCCAGTCCCAGCACCCATGAGGTGTGTCTCTATATTAATATTATAAAATAATAATTATAAAATATTAATTTGAAATATCTTTCTGAATTATAGAACAACAAGGACTTCACCGAACCCATTGACAAGGTGCGCGATGACTCGATCAACGATCTGATCGCCACCATTGCCAAACTGGACTCGAATGGAGTGCAGGTGCTGCCGGAGGGTCGCACAAAGACCACCTCACCGCAGGTTCATAGCTCCACGGATCTGTCCAACACGCAAGAAGGTAAGTACTCGCAACGCCTCCAAGTGCTTCATGTGCGTGTGGCGTTGTAGTTGCCGAATCCCAAGCCCGAGTCATTCCGAAAAGGTGGAGGAAATCAATTTGTTCAAGTCCTTGAGTGGTTATATCTGCTTGTTACCCGCTTATGTTTCAACCATCAGCCGTTAATCCGCTTTAGTTTTAGACTCTGGTGAAGGTTAAATGCTCATTTGTGTGGAGGAGTCATCATTACCATTAGTTTTGCTTGCTGGCTTACCAAATAAATTTCTAAAATTCTCATAACTTTGCTCTCTTTATTTCTATTTTCAAACATTCCGAAAAATAAACTCGTTTTCCAAAATAAAATCGAAACGCGCGCAATAAACGAACACGACACGAATAAATTACTAACAATTGAATCAATTCCAAACCAACACTCCAACACACTCAAATCAAACCAACTCAACTCGAATTAATCAACAACAATGCATACACGACACACCCACATGAATACACACCCGAATACACATGAATGCGAACCCAAAACTAATCATATCAGTTAATAATAAAAACGAACAAAAAGATGATCCCAACGAGGACTGGTGCGCCGTCTGCCTGGACGGAGGTGAGCTGATGTGCTGCGACAAGTGTCCGAAGGTATTCCACCAGAATTGTCACATACCCGCGATCAGTTCGCTGCCCGACGAGAGCGAGAGCTGGCAGTGCCTGCTGTGCGTCAACCTCAAGGAGCTGACCAAGACGGAGGGCAGCGAAAAGACCTCCGCCGGCGAGCTGAGTCCCCTGGAGCTGCGCATCCTGCAGCGCATCTGCCTGGAACTGTACTGCCAATACGAGCAGAGCCTCAACTTCCGGGAGCCGGAGTCGCCAGCCAATACATCCTACTATGAGATTGTGTCCAGGTAAATTTCATTCTGTTTTAATATATATTTAGGGTATTCAATTGCGTTGCAAAAGTATACACAAGTTTAGTAAGTAGGCAAGTATACAAAGTAAGCTTTGCCTAAAATAAAATTGACATACATATGTACATAAAAAGGGCGCTCTTTTTACTTTATATGAGAAGTCCTCGACTTCTTAGGCATTAAATGTCTGAGGACGAACATTAAAGTTGATTACTGGTATTATAGTCATTCTTATTTGGTTTCACCAAGAATTGTATTAAACCGCGAGTTCTTCAGCTGATTTGTTGTCCAATTTCTTGGTCAAGAATGTCATTTCCTTACTATCTTAAACAAGCCCGAAAATAAAACCGCGAATTCTTTGGCATATAGATGCTATATCAGCATCGTTTAACAATACCCAAAAAAACATTGATCGCCAAAAGTAGAGCAAAAAATTTGTTACGCGAATTCTTAAGCGTCAATCGGCTTCTAGGTGGACAACACTATAGACTTAAATCCGACTTTTTAGTATTTTTGTAGTATTTAAAACCTCTATTTTAAACCATTATTTCTACCCAAGTACAACATATTTGTATACTTAGGCTGGGGTGTTGTAGGCCTAGCAAGGCTTTGTATGGAAATTGTTTTATTGTTTTATACTTTTCAAACGTTTGCAACGCAATTGAATACCCTATATATCTCTGAATAGTAATGTTAGATTCCGCTTTAAATAATATATTAAAAACTAATTTAATTTGTTAATCCTTTTAGCCCCATGTCGCTGGATGTGATTCGCACCCGCCTGGATCCCTCCAGTCCCAACCACTACAAGGACATCGCTGGCTTCGTGTCCGACGTGCGTTTAATATTCTCCAACACATACCTCTTCTATCAGGTGAGGTTTAGCATTGATACAGCCTTATTTGCGATCCCTACTAATGCCCGAATTTTCGGCCAGGAGGACACGAAAACTTACTCCAATGCCAAATACCTGGAGAACTTCTTCGAGGAGCAGCTGGCCAAGTGGCTGCCGCAATTCGAGGGCAGCAAGCAGCTGGGCAAGGGCGGCAGCTCCAGCTGCTCACCAGCGTTGTTGGGTGTGAATGCGACTGGCTCGCCGTCGCCCATAGAGAATGGACGCAAAAGCTGCGGCTCGGCATCGTTGGGTGACAGCGATTCTGGCTGCTTGCCGGCCAAGAGGGCGCGAAGGTCGGGGCACGAATAGGAGGAGCTAATGCCCGGCGGAAAGGGCACAGACGGGGAGGAGCAGCGCCAACAGGAGGATGAAGTGCAGGCGGGGCAGCAGCAGCAGCTGCCTGGATTTTTGGAGGAGATGGACCTGGAGATGCCGCAGCGGCCGCACAGCCTGGGCAGCAATGTTATACAGGAGAGCGCCGACTATGTGCTTCAGCTTTTGCACGCTTACGCCGCCGCATTTGGACTGTAGATGCCGCAGAAGCAACTCATCGACCCGTAGGCTTACCTCCCCACCATCATGAGACACACACACACACACATCTGAGCAGCTAGACCTAAAAAAAAAACCGCAGATGTGCCCTTTGAACTTCAGTGTCTGGACATATTTAAGAACTCAACTGTAAATAGTAAAGCTAGGCAAGTCATTTGATATGATTTTATTTATACGTACAATGGAATAAATTGAATCCTTGGGCGATCGAGAATTGAAACGAGATATGTTTAGCTAAATTCTAAGTGTTGAATATCCATAAACATTGATATAAATATTAATATAAATATAAATATGTAAACCTTTCTGTAGAGAACCACTAGAGATTAAAGCTAGTCGTAAGTGTTCAAGCTCGAGTGAAATTGTCATCCTTATTTCACCGATTTGTATTTTTGAGATATACCCCATTCTGACCCATCTCTGTTGGAATTGTATTTACTTTTGTGATAGCGAAAAACAATAAGATGAACAAATTACCCATTATTCATAAATATTATTATTACCATTTAATTAAACACTGTGGCGAAGTTCTACATTTATTTCGAATTTGACATGTACGATATTTATTGACCGCTAACCATCCATCAGCAAGCTCCTGCTCATCCCAAGAACAGCATATACATTCGTATACCACATAAGAAGACACTTGAAATAAGTTAGCTGCATTCTAGCCGTCTAAGTTCCGCAGATAAATCAAACCCTTAACTTACGAGTAAGCAAATCATTGATGTTTGGATGTTGTACGTTTGACGTAATAGCAGACAGTAGGTGTAAGGAGTGACTAGCTCTATTTATTACCAATCGATCGGCGGGCCACGCCACCCGCAGGCGATGTACATAATGATCTATACATATTTCCGACAAAGAATCACCTTTTCATATACCTATACATATATATTTAACCGAGCGTGTATGTAGTTTTTTATGATGCCGGATCGAAACTAAAATAAAACCAAATCAGCTAAGGTCAATATTTTCATAAATGTTTTCAATGCAAGACACGAAAAACACAAACGAACAGAAGTCACACTGGACAACTACAAATAAAATATGATAAAATTAGATGCTAAAAAGTCAACTACCTACTCCTAACGACGCCACAATAGGAACGATATAGGGGCGGAAATATATTAATGAAATTATATAGCCATGCATAAATGTTTGTACGACGCTCCCGATGGACGACAATGTGTGCTATCCTATCAAGAAAAAAAAACAAAATAAAAACAAAAGCTAAGTAGATCATGCATAGCATCTGCGAATGTTTGTATGTTAAATGTGAAACTATGGAAATTATTTTATCTGTTTTAGCCGTAAGTTTTACGATAACTAAAGAATAACCACTGTATATGGATGTACTACTTACTATCGAGTGGATTATAAAATAATAAAAGAAAACTTCATGTAATGCTCTGATATCATTTAAATGGCAAAGAATCCGTCCTCCCGCAGATATTGCTCCTCACTGTGGGGCTACAAGAGGAATCTCTCGTCGATGAGGGTCTTGCGGGAGACATTGCGGCGCACCCAATGGCGGAACACTTTCCGTAGTAACTAAAATAAATTTCGAAACTATTTTGTGTATCTATATGGAAATTTAAAACCTACCATGTTGAACACACAAGCTGCCGCAGCTGCAATCAACAAGTTCGAGGTCATCAGGAAGATCGACAGCAGCAGGAGCAGTTCCATCACAAAGATATGCAAATGATTACCCAAAAGGAGAACTCGGGAGAAGCTGAACGAGTCGTCGATGTAAAAGGTACCTTTGTCTGAAAGTTTAAACTTGTATTCTAGTATTTGAAAGAGCAATATCTTAACACTCACTTTCCGTAATGTAGTTGTCAATTTCGCAGTTGAGCAATTGCTCCACAAATGATTTTTCCTTAATGATGTAATCCATGTCCTTAATGGCCTGTTAATCAAGTATTATTATGACATAGAAAAAGATATTAAATTTATAAATTACACCTGAATAAATAACAATAAAAAAACAAATCCTAAAGCTCATAAGATAGCTGGTGAATATGAAAGTTCAAAATCTTAATTCTAACTAATATACTTTTTTAAAAAATCTTTTGCTTTCTGATTGAGTCAGTTTTGGACTTATTAAGATGTGAATTAATTTTCCATAACTCTAATTGATATTTTTTAAGAAGTTATCATTTTTTCTTTAAAATATTTTAGTAATCACATTCTTTCTGATTGAGTGAATTGATTTTCCATAACTCTAATTGATATTTTTGAAGAAGTAATAATTTTTTCTTTATAATATTTTAGTAATCATTAGCTTTCTGATTGAGTCAGTTCTGGACTTATTAAATTGTGAATTTATTTTCCATAACTCTAATTGATATTTTTTAAGAAGTAATCATTTTTTCTTTAAAATATTTTAGTAATTATTACATTCTGGACTTATTAAATTGTGAATTAATTTTCCATAGCTCTAATTGATATTTTTAAAGAAATAATAACACTGTGCAACATTTTTAGGGTTATAAAATGTAACCGCAATTCTGATTTCATGGGCGGAAAGAACTCATCGAAATAAGCTAAAACCCATTTGGGTTTCTCTGGCTTAGCTCGCGTTTACCTATTATAGCGAGTTAAAGTTTTACATACAAAATTTATTTGTAACGGCCATATCTTGTGAACCGATTAAAATTTCACTATCAAGTCTTCAGTGATTATGTAGCTATGAACCCAAGGAACTAAATTGACAAATGGCTCTTGCGAAGACGTACACCTAGCGCGTTAAAAATCGAAAAATTATGCAAATTTGTTTTTTAACGCGCTAGGTGCACTAGGTGCTAAGTGCGCAAGAGTCATTTGTCAATTTAGTTCCTTGGGTTCATAGCTACATAATCACTGAAGACTTGATAGTGAAATTTTAATCGGTTCACAAGATATGGCCGTTACAAATAAATTTTGTATGTAAAACTTTAACTCGCTATAATAGGTAAACGCGAGCTAAGCCAGAGAAACCCAAATGGGTTTTAGCTTATTTCGATGAGTTCTTTCCGCCCATGAAATCAGAATTGCGGTTACATTTTTCATGTTGCACTGTGTAATTTTGGCTTTAAAATATTTTAGCTTTTACTCACATGGTCGATAAAGGCGCAGAAGAAGCGATTGACGCTGGCATACGCGATAGAGGTGCGCTCCATTTGGCCATCGATGCTGGGAACGATGTCCTTTTGATAGAGAAGCGTCTGCGAGAGGCTGCCGGTGAGGCTGCGCTGGAAGGGCAGCAGGAGTCGCTCCAGGTAGATGCTGAATCATAAAAACCATGAAAACAATAAACATCTAGGATTACAACCAATACTCACTGCAGATTTCTGGGAGGCAGTATGATGTACGCCTGCTTATCCGAATCCATAAGCAGTCCCCGTCGGCCACTCATGGCCTGGGTCCTCTGCAGCTGCAAAATCATCGAGGACATGTCCGTATCGGCAAATCCGTGTGGGGATCGTCCGTGGATGTAGTAGCCGAAACCCGGTTCCGTCAGCGAGAACAGAGATATATTGGCCAGACTGCAAAGATCGATGAACTTCTGCAGGGGATTGGCCACAAACAGGTGGTGTCCCATAATCTGAAGCAGATATGTGAGCAGATAAACGGCCGCCAGCAAGCAGCAGCTCAGTAAGAGATCTCCCCTGGTAAATCTCTCCAAAAACTGATAGGCTGCGACGGCTACAAACACCTGACCCAGGGTGGAGTACTTCTGGCTCACGCTCAGGCGAATCCAGGCATTGGCCGTGAAGAGGACCCGCCAGGCGGAGACGCTGCTCTCCGCGACAAAGGTGCGCACGCTGGAGCAGAGCGAGGAGCTGTCCAGATTGAGGCGCTGCCCCTCGCAGCTGCTTCGCGGCCTCTCCCAGTCGATGAGAAACAGTTCCAGCTGGCTGGAGCGCCACAGCTGAACGCCCAGGAAGAGCAACTGCAGCAGGCAGGCGGGATAGAGCAGGATCTTCAGCAGGCGTGGACTGGAGGCCTGCAGCAGCAGGAGAAGCAGAGCAGTGGCCAACAAAGCATAGGCCACATTGCCGGCAAGCTGCAGGAGAAACTCGATCAAGCTGCTCATCTGGCACAGATCGGCCTTTCTCCTCCTTCGCAAATTCTGCAGACGAAAGATAGCAGCTGCGAGGGCCAGCAAAAGAAGCAGGGGCAGCGCCACCTCCAGTACGAACCAATCCCAGCCTCGTTTCACCTGCTCGTGGGTAATCCTCAAGCGAAATGGATAAAGCTGGGAGAGCGAGGCATTTCCCGAACCCATCTCAATATGCCGATACCGCAGCCGAATGATGGGTAGACCCACTCTATCCGGCTGATCCTTGTCCAGGGTATAATGCAGTTCCATATCCTCGACATAGCGCAGCGAGTAGTACTGCTGCAGCTTGTGGCCATCCTCGTAGCGTGGCAATGTCTGGTGGATTCGATTGTCGCGCGGCGAGGCGGAGATTAACTGAAAACGCTTCACCAGCTGCCACTCCTCCTGCTGGGGACGCTGAAAAGGGGGAGATCAATGAGTTAGTTTCTGGAAAGTACACTCAGAAAGCCCGTGATTTTAAATTGCCATTGAATTCAACGACTCTCCTTTTTATTCCTTTTTTTTAAATCAATGGTTAATTTCCATAAACTTAAGAACATTTTTCTAAAATCAAGAAAAATGTTCTTAAGTTTATGGAAATTAACCATTGATTTAAAAAAAAGGAATAAAAAGGAGAGTCGTTGAATTTTTTCTTGGATTAATGGCGATATTTTCTTGGATAAAAAGGCGATATTTTCCGAACTTTTTTCTTGTGTTAATGGCGAAATCGCCTTTGATTCCAGAGAATAAATTCCTATTTTTCAGGAAAGTTTTGTAATTTGTTAGTATTCGTATGATGGCCTAGCTGTTACAGGCGTCCGGACACTAAACATTTGTACAAAAGTCGCCGCGGAAACCGCGGTTCTACATTTTAGTTAACAAACCTAAATGCAAAAGTGATAAAAAAAATCAGTCGGACAAATTAAAAAAAAATGGGTCATGCACAAAAATACTTTAATTTTTCTATTTTCAAGAAAAATTGTCCTAAATTTTAGGGTTATTTGCCGTAAAATTCAGAAAAATAGGTAATGATTTTTAGAAAGGCGAAACCGTAAATTCAAGAAAACTATTTCCCATAATTAATGGCGATTTGCCGTTGGATGAAAATCACAGGCGATTCTCTTGAATCAATGGCGAATTTCTTGAATCAATGGCGATTTTTTTATGAGTGTATAGGATTATCCAGTAATTTCCTAACCTGATTCTCCGGCGTCAAAGTCTCGATGAGCACGGGCAGCTGGTGGAGAAGAAACTGCCAGTTGCTGCTAAAGTTGAGGAAAACCGTGAGAAACTCGTCGTTGGCCTGCTGGTTGGCCAGGTCAATTAGGCGCTCCAGGGTCAGCTGGCAGGAGACCTCCGACTCCTTCGCCGGCAAAGCCAGACGCAGATTTGGCGCTGGCTGTTGGCACATGTTCAGCATCTCCGGATGGAAGGGACCCCACCGCTTGAGTCCACCGTCCAGGCCAAATGTGGTGCTGAAAAGCCGCAGCTCCTTGCGATCTGGCAGCTGCAGCGTCTTCGAGAGCAGCTCCTTGGTAACGCGACCCTTCTTGTAGAACAGAAACGGCTGCAGGGAACGCACCTGTTCGCCGGAATGGGCATACTTCATCACCACATCCGAGACCTGGGTGAGCAGGAAGGCACTGCAGGGCGAGTGCTTCTCCAGCGAGAAGTGCGAGAGCACGCAGAGATTTGCCAGCTGCTGGCAGGCGGTATCGTTCCGCAGGGTCAGACAGAAGAAGGCCACGAACTTGAGGTCCCCGAAGTGACTGGGTGCACTTGCATCCGGTCTGAAACCTGTGGTGGTGGTGGCCTGCCAGAAGGCATTGTAGTGCATATACGGACGGAGCAGGGAGCTGGCCAAGCAAAAATCCTGATAGCGAAAATTGTGAGCCAAATCGCAGGATTGGCAATCGCCTTTGCTGCTCGCAGGATTCGTCTTGGTCAGGATAATGCCAGCGATGAGCGGATGCACCGCCAACTGGCTGGCGAAGACAGACGTTGAGTTGAGGTACCGATAGCTGCATTGGGCGGAAGGACGCGGCTGTGGAAGCCACACGGAGGTGCAATTGTCGCTCCTGTCCGGGGTGCAAATCTCATCGCAGGTGGGCCACGTCTTGCCGCGTTCATAGATGGACAGGTGGCCAATCGGGCATTTGCAGGTAAACTCTGGAATGGGGGACAAACATATGATAATAATAATATTAAATAAATTGTAAATTATTAAAACTTTTTGCATAATTTTTTCAAAACATGTAACAAAATGAAAATTTCTTTTCAACTACTACCAATAAAGTTTAAGTTTATTTCAGGGACTGCACATAAGTGTTATGAATTTAAAAAAATTGAAGACCAAAACAGCGTCCAAAAAATATGGGAAAAATACCACATACTTAGTTTGGCTCGGCAAATGAAAAAATGTAATAAACCTTTTTTTTCAATTTTAAGTCTTTTTTTTCAATTTTTAAAATACAAATTGGAGAATAAGACTTTTAAATTTAATTTTTTTTATATAAATCAAAAAAAATTATTATTTTACAATTTTTATTTTAAAAATCATAAGAATAACGATCCCTTATTTATTTTATCTTTACATAACTTATTAAATATAGATTTCTATTAAGGTAGAAAATGTAGTACTTTTCCATGTGAACCTATTCTAACTTAAAACAAGAGAGAACGCTATAGTCGGGTTGTTGTCCCGACTATCTAATACCCGTCACTCAGCTAAAGGGAGTGCGAACGCTGTGTCGGGTTGGTGTCCCGACTAATAATCGTTACTCAGCTAAAGGGAGTGCGAGGGAGATAGATATATAATTTTTGATTGCGTATAACTTTTTAATGAATGGTCCGATTTGAAAAATGTCTTCTACATTTCGATAGGTATAAATATACACAACAAAATTGCATTTATACTTCTCGGAAATCTTTAAAAATGTGGGCGCAGGACCCATTTTAAAATCGTTAGTGGGCGTGGCGCTCGGCTAAAATAAACTTGCGCTGCGTAGGAAGCCAAAGAATATGTGTGGGAAATCTCAACCTTCTAGCTTTTGTAGTTTCTGAGATCTCAGCGTTCATACAGACGGACAGACGGACAGACGGACAGACGGACAGACGGACAGACGGACAGACGGACATGGCTAGATCGACTCGGCTAGTGACCCTGATCAAGAATATATATACTTTATGGGGTCGGAAACGCTTCCTTCTAGCTGTTACATACTTTTGCACGAATCTAGTATACCCTTTTACTCTACGAGTAACGGGTATAACAAATCAGAAAAAAAATATCATCTTAGGTAAATTAAGTTTACGATTTAATAATTGGTAAATTAATAATTAGCTCAAGTATGATTTTAAAACAAAGCAATCTTTGAACAATGGACCGTAATCATAATTTGTGATATAAACAATCCAAATTTTATGATTCATTTTTATTTTATTTGGTTGGAAAAATTTGATGTTTTTCTTTGTTTTGTTTTATTTTTTAAGCGAATAAATAAACATTTTTGCTTTAATTTGATTGAGTTTATTGGTGTAAAAGTGATCTGACCATTTTTGAGGGTATTTAAACTTAAAGTTAGCAGGTCAGTGACCCGAGTAATGTAAAACCTAGCGAAAGAGACTTTAATCTTTAATTATTAAAAATTATTGAATGACTCAAAATGTGAGGGTGCTTCTTGTCATAATTTTCCTTGACTAGCATGCAGTTCCTTGCCCCTTCGCCTGCCTCCCCCTTGGGTTCTGTTTGATCAATACTACCACTCACTGTCGGGCTGCAGTTTTCCGAGACCCCCGTCTCCCAAAGCGACCTCATTGCAGGGCACACAGTCGAATAGGTTGAGGTTGTAGTACTCGTTCTTGAGGCACTGCAGCGGATTCTGGAAGCGGAATGTGTGTGGCGTTGGCACCTGGGTGGGATTCGGCGTGGGAATGGTCAGCGAACCGTTGGCCAATTGAATTAGTGTGCCGATCCAAAGAAGGGCAAAGCACCAGTTGATAATCCGGAGGAAGCACCTCATCCTGATCTGATTTTCGGAGCTGCTGCTGCTCTCTCTTCAAAACTCGAAAGGATACTGAATACCCCATCGATTGCAGCTGCAATTTCGAAGGCGCAGAGGAAGGCAAGTAAACAATGGGACTCGTGGTGGGAGCGATGTTGCTATAGCTACCCAACCCCAGGATTTCACCGGGCACGCATGCAAAATGGCCATTATCCGGGGGGGTTGGCCCAGGTGGTTGCTCCCTCGACCGAAATTTCTGACCCGGCGGCCACCTCAAGTGTAATGAGTCCTCAAGACTTGTTACGCCTCGGATTATCGTGCGTCCCACTGGGCTGACTTGTATATTTCAGCACTTTGCGTGCTCAAAATTGTGATTGCCTTCATTACTTTTCTAGCATTTTGCATACGATTTGTGGGTAAATATGGCAAAGGCTATTTTAGAAATATAATTCAACGTGATGGAATTCTTACCGGGCAAGCCTTTGACCATCAGGGAGGATATTAAATTAATTGATCCTCCTGCGATATTAAGTATTTTAATTTATAATGTATACTTTAATTTGCACTTATTATAGAATTAAATGAAAATATTTAATGAAATAATGAGGAACTAGAATGAACGCTATAGTGAAGTGCCTCGACTATCAGATACCCTTTCATCTTCTAAAGGGAGTGCGAGGGTAATGGATATATGCAAATCGACTGTTTCCGACACTGCAGAGCGCCACCTAGTGGCCAATTAATGAAAACTTTTTGATTTAAAAAATGTTTGACGTACCGATGCCCACCGACTAATGAAATAAAAAATGTACTTCAATTTTATATGTGCTTTATGGGCGTTAGAGGGGCGTGGCACTGTGATAAAGTTGTATTTTAAAGTTCCCGAGATCTTAGTGTGCATACGAACGGACAGGAGGATATTTATCGAAACCTATTAATTTTTCTACATTTAATTTTAAATTATTATTTTAAGGCACATTTTTTTAAATGTATATTATTTTTCGATCCAAATTGGATTACTGATTTACTTTAATTTTGTTTTGTTAGCAGAATTCACAATTCGTAATTCGACCGTTACTTTTGACTTTAAATGCAGTAAAAGCTGGAAAAGAGGGTTTTATTGATGGAATGGTAATATACAGTAGAAATAATATAAATTTGCGGTAATGGAATCTACAATAAAAGGGTTTATCATAAAAGTAACTATTTTAAAAATTAAATTGTATAACTACTTTTAAAGACAAGATTTAATTGAACCGCCTTTTGCATCCCTGGGCTTTTGGCAGCGTCGTGCGACGGTCACACTGCTCGCCTCCCCCCGCCCACTTCCTTGCAAGGACAACACAATTAGGCGGCGGACACATACAGTTTTTTCCCCCGATCCGTGGCCGCCAGTTAGCCCAGTCTCGTCCCCCAACCGACGGGTGATTTGATGCCCCACAGCAACCGTTGGCCATTCGCATCCAGGATGCTACGCTGGCGTCGCTCAGTTTAGGAGACCGCAGCCCCAGACGAAAATGAACAATTTGGTGAGTGGGCGGTGGCGGTGGTGTCTTCGTCTCAGAGTGTGTGTATCAATCAATCAATCAACATATCAACAATCCTTGCAGGAGCACGCCAAGCACTTTTATCCCGACAACTACAAATTGGATCTGTCCGAGACGATGAAGGCGGCGCTCTCCAAGGGACCCGGAGGCGGTGGCGGTGGCGGCGGAGGGGGCGTGGCCGGCGGTGAAATGCTGCCCCAGCCAAATGCCGGAATGCCGGGAGTGGGCTATGTCACGGAGAAGCTGTACATGCTGCTGCAGCTGTATCTGCAGAACAAGGGCTGGAATCCGAGTGCCGAGCTGCTGCAGTGCTTCAGCGATCTCAAGGACAACGCCATGCTGCCCAGCGCCGCCTATCTGCAGTGAGTATTGGTATATATACCTTTGGTATGTAGCCCTTTCCTAACTTCCTTCTCTTCTCCCACAGGGTGCTGGCCAACCGGCTGACTCTGGACTCCCAGGGTCGTCTGATACTACGGGACAATGGCAAGATTGTGCTGCCCTTCGAGCACTTTGCCAACGCTGTGATGCTGAAGCACATGTCGGGTCCGCATGGCCTGCACCTCAGTGTGGACGCCACGGTGCGGGCGGTCATCGAGTCCTACACCATCGGCCGGGATCAGTTTGGCATGGAGAAGGAGTTCATCATCGAGGTGGTGCAGTCGTGCCCCAGTCCTGCGTGTCGTTACTACAAGAACCACATGGGCATCTCGCCCATGCCGTTCATGGAGCAGCAGTATCCGGGCGTTAATACGCCCGAGTTCCTGCAGCGTCTGTCCCACCTGCCGCCTGGCGGAGCCACTGCATCCGGACCGGGTGGCTCGGCCGGCGGTTCCGCGTCCAGTGCGGCCAGTAGCTCGAGTTCAGCCAACGTCGAGATTGATCTGTCCAAGTCGACGGGGGCAAAGGTGCCGCAGGTGCCGGTGCCGCCGCAGCTGCAGCATCTGACCAAGCAGCAGCAGAGCAGCATACAGACGCAGCTGTCCCAGATCAGTGCGGCAGCCGCCCATCACCAACAGCAGCAGCAGCAACAGCAGCAACAGCAGCAACAACAGCAGCAGCAGCAACAGCAGCAGCAGCAAGCAGCTGCCAAGCACCAGCAGCAACTGACGGCGGCCCTGATCCAACAGCAGAACCGCGTCCTCGCCCAGCAGAGTCTGGAGAAGCTTAGCAACCACCTCAGTCCGCTGGAAAAGCAGCGGGTCTTCGCTCAGCTTGATCCCAAGCACTTTGATCCCATGGCCGTCGCAGCTGCGGCCGCCAATCTACAGATCCAGGGACTGATGCAATCGCAGGCGGTGGCTGCCGCCGTGGCCGCCAATCAGCAACAGCCACCGTCTGCCACAGCCACTTCAGCGGCAGGTGGATCTGCAAGCGGTCCTCAAGCCCATCTCGGTCACCATCCCTTGCCGCCGCCCTCTCAGTCGCCGCACTCGTCCTCTTCGTCTTCCTCTCACTCATCGCTGGACCAGATTACCCACAAGAACGTGGCCGACTCCTTGCGGTGAGTGGAATTTGGTCAAGTTACTTACTCATTTTGTCACATGCTCATTTTACATGCTCATTTTACTTGCTCATTTTGTTACATGCTCATTTTGTTACATGCTTTTACATTTTACTTGCTCATTTTGTTACATGCTCATTTGACTTGACTAATATATATGGGGGTAAATTACAAAATAGAAATCAAACTCAAAACAATTATTGTCATACCTACATATTTTCTTAATAATAGATTTTTATAAAACAATTAACCTGTTTTACTCGCAGAATAATGGCTTTAGGTTATTAATAAAATTTAATTTTAATTTATAATACCTGTTCTTATAAAACCAATTAGATATTAACATTTGCAGAGCAACAACATTTTCAATTATTTATGATTTGTTTTGTATTTGTGAACAAACCGATTAATTATTTTTTACAAGATAAACACTTTTGCACTTTTAATACTCAATTTTCTCATACTTTTGCAACATTTTCGACGACTTTAGCTCCAATCTGGATTCCATAGAGTCTAACAAGGATTTGTTGGCGCTGCACAATGGAGCTTGGGCCACCGGCGACGCCAACCGCATGGATCACTTGGCCGTGGGCCAGGACAAGATAGTGCGGATCTTTGCGGAGCTAATGCGGAACATGTCGCGGATGAAGACCTACATACGTCCCTCTATGTGCAAGCCCTACGGCAAGCAGAGCGAGAGTCTGCAGAAGAGTGAGTACCGAATTGGGAACCGGTTCTCAGATGCTTACCAACTCCTTCTGTTTCCTCCTCCTCTGCAGCCCTCATGGACACCATTCAGATCGTGCAGACGCTTCGCAACTGCCTCCCAGCTCCCCACATACCCGTGTCCTCCTGGAAAAGCGAGAGCGAGGGCAACGTTGGTTCTGGAGTGGGTGTGAGCGTGGGCGTTGGCGTTGGAGTGGGTGTTCCTCCAGGACTTAACCTAAGCGCTGCCTTGGGTCTCCCCAGAGTGGATAACATGCACTAATCGAAGGCGAAGGAGTTCATCTAGTAACATGCATACACATACACCCCATTCCCCCGTTCTTCCAGGAGTTCGAGAACACTTAGTATTTACACACAGAAATACGCATAGATCTTAAATAAGCATAGCAGTTTACCCTCGTAGGCTTGGCTCCAGTTTTCCTCTTAGCAATTACGTGCCATGTTAAACGCAAGACTTGATTTAATTTTCAAATTTGACTGACATTTTGAATCCTGCGGTTGGATTCGTTTGATTTTATTCTCCCCACCCTGTCTTTCACCATTCGGCATGCAAAATTAACAAGCAAAACGGCAAATTAGTTAAACAATTGGCAAAACGTCTGTGATATTTTAATTATGTTGGCAAAACGAAAAACGAAAGAAAACTAAATTTAATTTATTATGTTGTGTGCCCTCTGTTGTGACATCTTACGATTTACTTTGTGCAATATCTACTTAGCATTTATTCTTAGCCATTCTCGTGCAATCGACGACTTCTCGCCCATATCAAAAGCAACTCGAATATAGCCTATACCTAAACTATCCTAATGATAATCGACATGATAGACGCGTAAGATTTACATTATATTTTGCATTAGAACTTCATAGATCTTGAAGTGAATTTAGAGAGAGGCGACGAGAGAGGTTACGAGTTGTGTTTAAATTTAAGAAACAGAAAAAGGGTTGTATTCAGGATGCAAAGGCTATTTAAATACATACTTTAGCCCGCCCGAGCTCACCGTTACCAGTAATTCTATAAACGAGCAAACAGTATTATACGCAATAAAAGACACTTGCAACCATAAGTATTTACCTAGCTGAAGTGTGGGAACTTATCGTAACATACCATATTATCGCTTAATGTTTACCTTCTGGACTAAATAATAAATAAATATTTTATTCTACGACTAAATTGATGTCTTTAACTCAATGTGTGTTAGGGATATTCAGATTAAATATTTTTTTTCATTTTATCAACCAAATTATATGTTCATTTTCATATTCTCTATGTAGAAATATCACCAAAAACTTAATCAGTTAAAAAAGTTGACGTTTAAAAAAAAGATTTTGAGGATTATTCACAAAAACTGTCATACGGTCTTTGGGATCAAATTGTAATATGGTTTTTGGGCGCAAATTGTCATGTGCTTTGGGCGCAAATATATGTAGTATGTGCTTTGTTCGCATATTGTTCTTATTTGTAACATTTTCATTTTGTAGCATGCTCATTTTACATGCTCATTTTACTTGCTCATATTACATGCTCATATTACATGCTCATATTACATGCTCATATTCTGCGCTCATATTACATGCTCATATTACTTGCTCATTTTGTTACATGCTTATTTTACTTGCTCATATTACTTCCTCAATTTACTTGCTCATTTTGTTACAAGATCATTTTACATGCTCATTTTACTTGCTCATATTACTTGCTCATTTTGTTACATG